CTGTAGACAGGGTGGCAGGTAAGGGCCAAGGTTGGGGGAGACTGGGGAGGCAGCTGTGGGGCGGTGGTGACAGAGGAAGGGCCAGTTAGATGAATACTTGGAAGATGAATCAGCTCCAAGAGAATCTGGAGGAGCACACTGAGCCAGGGAATGGCAAGTGTGCGTGCTGAGGTGGGAATGAGGGTGAGAGGTCAGGCACTGCAGAGGGCGCGCCGTGTGGGGAGCGTCAAGGGCTCTATGGTAAGAGCAGTAGGGAACCATGGGAGGGACGGATGCAGGGAAGGGTGGACTGGCCACCATGTAGAGAATCTGCCCTTCTATTCCCTTGCAGGAAGACACTGCCAAGGCCCCACAGATGACCTCTGATCTCACAGTCCCGGGAATGGCCCAGCCCTGCTGGCTTGTGTGTGGGCTCGCGTGACCTGGATGAGTGCCCAGCCGTGCCCTCACCTTCACAGTGGCATTGCAGAATCTGGCACAGCCACTCTTCAGGCTTCTTATTCTGCTAGAGTAGACACATCTGTGTGTGAAGAGTGTCTGGAAGAAAGCCAACGAGAGAAAGTAATGCACTGTGTGCTTCCAGGTCCTCTGGCATTCCTTGGCTCCTTCATTCCTTAGCTTCTACCTCCATTTCCTCCCCACGTTAGGAGACAGCACTAGGCCATACCAGCACACGTGGGTCCTGGTCCAGGCTTAGTCACCCTCTTTAGGCCTCTGTTTTCTTATTGGCAGATTACAGGCCAGGGTTTGCACCACGTTGGGCATGTCTGTTCTTAACTCCCCTCCCCGTGCTCTGGCGCACACTGTTGCCTGACTGGGCACACTCCGGTTTGCCCTGGATGGGACTTAGTCTCTGCTCCCAATTAATAGCCATTCCTAAGCATCTCCTCTACAGAAATTTTGGAGTCGCTCTAATTTGTAGAAAGATCCACCAAATAAAATAGGGCAAGCCTGAGTTTTTCTCATAGGATGTCAGTGGGGTATGGGGACAGGCAGATTTGTGTGCATACTTCTGCTTGGTAACCCTAGATACCCACTCATAATTATCTAAAACTAACATTTGTTGAAAACTTACTAGGGCCAGCCACTTTGCACTTGAGGTCATTGAGCCTCAACTCTATGTGGATATTTTTTATCCTTTTTTGTAGATGAGGAAATGGAGGCCCAAAAAGGTTAAATCATTTTCTTAAGAACACTGCTAGTTAGTGGCAAGTTCCGAGAATGGGTCTTACCATCTACTAACTTCAGGATATCACAAGCAAGTCATGTGGTCAGTGGGCCTCAGCTGCCTAACCTGTGAAATGGGCCAATAATGCTGATCTCAAGTTCTGTTGTAAGTATTTAGTTCCTGGTTCAAATTTTATGTTAGATCAATGTTGACATCTAGGTACCCCTTCCTGTAGGCTCTTATTCAAGAGGAGAGCAAAAACTTCAGAGGCTCTAAAATGCTAAACTTTTTGATATATAAAGGAATTCTGAGGTCATTGAGGAAGGAACGTTTAGCCCGCTTGTTGGATCTCAGGATAATTATCCAACAATATATCCTGGGAGCCTGGCAAGGACAGTTTTTGGGCTCTGACCCATGCGTCTCATTTCTCTTTCTCTCTCCTCCTTCCTTGGGCTGCGGCAGTGTCGGATCACAGCTCTGCCACGTCTCAGCTGCTGTGCAAGGTGTTTTATATTTCCTTGCCTTAGTTCCCAGATTGCATAAAAGTTCTGATGATAATATGCCGACCTCAGAGGTTTGCTGTATAAAGCCTTTAGAACAATGTTTGGCACACAGCAATCCCTGGAATGCTGGTCAACACCATTTCCTCTTTTCTCCCCACTCTCCATATTCCCAGGGGTGATGGCTTCATTGAGCAAAATATCTGAACACCTGTGCCTATTTAATTTTAATGTTTTGCTTGATTAAATGCTTCACACTAGGATGGCAGTAAACAGCTCAACTCTTCCTTGTGATCTAATGTAGCGTCAATGAAACTTCTGGTGGGGAAGTTCTTAAGATAAAAACTGTAGGCAGAAATTTCTATCACCAAGTTTACCTCAGGACACTCGGCTTTTGTCGCCAGTACAGTACCTGGCGTATGAATTATGGATTGTTGGACAATGGTCTGTTTTTCCTTTTTAGATTAGAGCTTCTCAAGACAGACACAACAAACCAAAAGAAAATCTTACTCATCTTTAAGTCCCCCAACCAGATCTAATATGTATGCAGATTCAATCACACTTGAAAAGGTTTTAATGGTCCTAGTGTTATTTCCTTGATATTTTTTTTTGTTTCTCTCCAGAATAATGCATGGGAAGAGCAAATATGAATGAAAGGTGGCAGCATATGCCCACTCCAAAATATGTCACTTTGGCCTAAGGATTATTCTGAACTAAAGGCACTTGAGAAACAGCAGCTGCAAAAGGGACACCCCAACCTCTCTTTTTCTTTGTGAAAACAGGAGATAAGCTTCCCACTTGAAAGGTGCCCTCAGTGAACCAGGAGAAAAGAAACATCACCAGCCACAGGGCGCTGCAGCAGAGGTCTGGGCAAACAGACCTTGTTGCAATAACCCTGCCCTTCCTTCAGCCTCCCCATACATTTTCCTTTTCCACAACTGCCACTCCTAATGTAAGCTACTATTTAAACATCTGGATGCCCCCACCTCTTGGGTCTTCATTTTCCTAGGGGGGGTCCCATGCACAAGTAAAACTCGGTACTTTTCTCCCGTTAACCTGTTTTCTGTCAATTTAATTCTCAGGCCCAGCGGGAGACCTGAAGTGGGTGGAGGTAAAGCTTTGGTCCCCCAACACAAACACTGGATTTTCCTGAAGAGGGAAAAGCAGAGAAGGAATGAGGCTGCACTGAGTAGTCACATGATGTCCTTGCTGGGCTTAGGTTTTGTCTATGCTAATCCTGCTGCTGCGGTTGTTTTGTTATGGTGATTACTTCCCAGTAAAGGAAATTAAGGGAAAAAGGTTAAGTGGCTCACCTGGGGTTAATGAGTTGGGATTCGGACACAGATCTGTGGTTGTCTTTCAACCACAGCCCCATAGCGTAGGCTAAGAGCTCATCTTACATTGACCCCATTGGAATTAGTATCTTTTAAGAAGGAAGGTAGAAAGGATGAGAAACACTACCACTGGGGCTGCGTGGCTGATGCGTGGTTTCATGAAGTTGTCACACTCACCGTGGGCACCGAGTTAGCAGGACATTTGCTCCAGTGTATGAGGGAACAGCTCACGCAGGAGCCCTGCAAGGAAAGACAGAGGATCAGCTTGGCTTCCCTGTAGGAGGGAGCAGGGGACCATCCTGTCTGGTCTTACGCTTCCTCCCTGTGAAGGGGGTTCTAGGCCTCTCTCCCCACCCCTACTGACTCCTCCCCAGAGGGAAAGAGCTCAGTCAATGCCAGAGGGCTCTGGGAGATGGAACTGAGCATGCTCAGAGAAGCCACTTCCACTCCCTCTTTCAGGGTCAGAATGTCTACAGGCCTCAGGGGCAGGTGCCTCTTTATAATATGCAGGGAGTCAATAGGCCACACAGTTAAGGCTTTGCTCTCCAATAAGCTCAGCAGTCATGAGACAGAGCAGTGAACCTGCCTGTCACTCTCCCAGGCTTCTTGCTCCATTGGTTCTGAATTCAGGAGGAAGGAAAGGGGCCTGTGTCTCCAGCTCCATTCTCTGACCTATGCTGGGCTCTGTGCTGACCTTGGAGGGCAGTCTCTTGGCCTACTTGCCAGCTCTGATGGGTCTTGGCCATTGTGAGGCACCAGCAGGGTACTGGTGGCTGGAACGAGGGCAAGGGAAGGGTATCTTCCCAGCTCCCCATCTGCTTGGGCATCATTCCTGCGTCTCCTGATGGGCATCACTTCTCTCCCAGCTCTCCCTGAGCTCAGGTGACTCCAGCCCTCCCCACGCTGACTCTTTGGTCCTGGGGTGGTCCTGGCTTGCTGCCATTGTTTCTCCTTGGATGCAGTGTTTGTTTCCTTAGCCCTACCCACCCCTCTGGAGTGGCTCCTTCATTTAAGTCTCTTAATTGGGACCATGGGATAAATTCTGTTTCCTGTAGGGACCCTAACTAGTACAGAGAATTATTAAGCCATTAAAATAATTAAATCACTAAAATCCAAAAATACATGGTCAAAAGCAGCTAGGGGTTCAGCCAGGTGAAAACTGAGACTTCTAGAAGATACCAGCAGATCCTACTCCTTGCTAGCCCTACCACTTTGCAGAGAATGCATTTGTATTTTTAATCAACTTAATCAAAACTATCCTAAACCTTGCAGAGCAGAGAGATTGGACTTTAAATCCAGGAGACAATAGTAAAAATAGGAAAAGAAGACTCCATCCTAAGCCACCTGTTGGGAAGCCCTTTTCCCCTTCACCCCAATGCTTTGGTTGTGGCTTAAATCCACATCTTGATTCTTTTCTTTGGGGAGATGGGAGAACTAGCTTTTGAATATTCTGGAACATAGCAATCCTGCAACAAGCAGGCATGGCTGCCCCATCTCCTCCACAGACTTCCTTCCTTGAACGTGAATGGCAGCTGCTTGGGGCAGGGGAGCTCTGACTCACAGGGAGCCTTTCCTACAGAGGCCCTTTTTCCTAATACTTTAATCTTTGGGATGAGACTGTTCGTTCTCATCTGGCCTGTTCTGATCTTCATTCCAGTCTAAGCCAAGTGATGGACTGCCAATTCTTTTTTTCAGGAATGAACCATTCAGAAATCACTGCCAGGGACTGGCTGGGAAAACGACCGAGTTTCTGTCTCTTTTAAAAAGGGGTGCTTAGAATTGAACCAAGTCCTCCAGATGGTATGTGACTGGCATGGAGGACTAGTACCATCACAATAGCCTAAAACATCAGACTCATTACATCAGTTAAGAAATCTGGAAGCAAAAGTATCAGTCACACTTCTATGCCAAGTGCCCAACGGGCTATTTGCAGCCCTCATGATGAAAAGAGGGATCAATGAAATAAAATCTACAGAATGAGTCCACAAGGATATTGTGAGAACAATCTTTGAAGAATTACTCAAATGTCCTGAAAAGAAAGACTGAGACCTATTATTGCTACAACTTTGGGGTTATGGTTTCCATAGGAACTAGAAGATCACATGTTCAGCAGTTTTGAAATTTGGGGTGCTCTGAATAAAACTGGCTGAGCCAAATAAGTTGCTACAGAAACAGGGAAGAGGGTACACAAGCTCATAGGCAAATGAAATGTTCGGTTTTTGAATAGAAGCACAAAAGAAGGTTGACTGGCTAAGCCAGAGCCTGTACTAAAGAAATACTATTTTAAGTTCCTCTTAGAGTGCGACTATGGGCACAGCACCGGGTGGTCCCGGGTGATGGGCAGGGGAAGAAAGAGGTGAAGTGGGAGACTGACCCTGCCTCCTCTGGTGTAGTGGGTGGACTAATACTCCCTCCAAGTTCACGTTACCAAGAAACTAGGATGTGATCTTATTTGGAAAGCCAGTCTCTGCAGATACAGTGAGTTAAGATGAAGTCTTACTGGATTAGGGTGGGTTCTAAATCTAATGACTGCTGTCCTTATAGGAAGTGAAGGGGACACTGACGCAGGGAGGAAGGCCATGTGAAGACAGGGCAGAGATGGGAGAGGTACAGCTCCAAGGCAAGGACCCCAAGAATTACTGGGAGCCACGAGAGGCCAGGCAGAGGCAAGGAAGGATCCCCAGCTAGAGCCTTCGGAGGAAGCACGGCCTGCTGATACCTTGATTTAGACTACTGGCCTCCAGAACCGCGAGAGGCTGCAGTTCTGTGGCTTTAGGCCTCCTGGTTTGTGGTAAGTTGTTAGGGCTGCTCCAGAAAACTCATATACGTGGGCAGCCTCTGTCATTGAGGAAATTCCCTCAAGGATGCCTCGTTTACATTTTCTGAGACAGGATGGAGGCCTGCCTGCCTCTTCATGAAGACGGAAATGCTTCTGGAGTGGGCTCCCGTGGTGGCTGCCCCCTGTCAGCTCCTCAGAGCCCTGACAGGAAGGAATGTTGTCTGCTCTCGGGGGCTTCTGAGGGGCCCTTATTTATTTTCCTAGTTTTCTTACCAGTTTCATCTCTCTCTCAGTATCATCACATCGGTGGGGCAGAATTGGGACGATGGAGGGGGGAATGAGAACTCCAGTCAGTGTGTAAATTCGGCCATTTTTGGCAGTGACTTCAGTTTCTTCCATTGCCACATCATTTGCCAGGATCTGTCCCTGGAAAGAGCAGTGACATCTTTCATTGTGTACTGCAGGAGCGCCAGCAATCCCTAGGCACACCTGAGTGGTGGTGACCTCCCTAGAGAGCCTTCAACTTTACTTTGCTTTTTTCTGGTGGACGATTGCTGGTGGAAGGTCCTGGCTGACAGGGAAAGATGACAGTTAGATGAATTCTTGACCAACAGCAGGTAAGGATGCCCTTGTAGGTGTTGGGCTGAGGAAGAGGAATAATTATTCCAGCTTGACAATATGTTTGCTCTGAGACCCTGGGCAAATTGTTTCACCTCTTTGTGGTGACATGGGGATCCCTTCATTCAGATACATTTATTGACCTTGCATTATGCTGTGCTCTAGTGCTGGGGATACATCAGGGACAAGGTTCCTGATTGTGTTCCCAGATGGGTTCCTGCTTATATTGTAGGGGAGGGAGCAGAAAATGGACAACCAAGCAAAGAATTCTGATCTCTGCTTTCCTCCCAAACCTGCTCCCCCTGTAGTATTAATGGCAACTCCATCCTTCCGGGCAGAAGCTCAGGGGTCTTCAGGGCTTTCCACTCTCTTCATCTCCCATCTAATCCATCAGCAAGTTCTGTTGGGTCTACCTTCAAAATACCTTCAGAACGCAACTACTTAGTACCATGTCCCTGCCACCACCCTGGTCTGGGTCACCACCATTCACCTTGGGGTTATTGCATTTGCCCTCTAACCAGTCTCCTGACTGGTTCTTGATCTGATAACATTCATCTGATCAAGTCATTCCACTGCTCAAAGTCCTCTGATGCCTTCTCATCTTATTCAAGTAAGAGTCTGCATCCTTATCCTGAATTCTTACGCCGTGCATGACCTGACCCCACCTCTCCTTTCCTCTCTTACTGCCTCGACCTCTTCTCCTACCCCTCCCTTCACCCCTCTGCTACAGCCACAGTGACCTTGCAGCTCCTCAAGCAGGTCGGGCCCACTCCTGGCTTTGTGCCTTTGGACTCGCTTGCTCCTCTCTCTGGAATAATGCTCTTTCCCCAGATAGTCACACTGCTTGTCCCTTCATTTCCTATAGGTCTCTGCTCACACCCTTTCTTCTTCATGGACTTTCTCAGGCACTTTATTTAAAATATCAGCCCCACCATTTTCTAGTCCCCTTTCTTGTTTTGCTGTTCTTTGCCTTAGCACTTACTAAATATATGCTATATTTTACCTACTTAATTTGTTTATTGTCTACCTTCCTATTTACTAAAATGAAAGTTTCATGTAATCAGGGACTTTTATTTACTTCATTTGTTAATTGCCTATCTTCCTATTTACTAGACTGAAAGTTCCATCAAGTCAGGGACTTTCATCTGCTTGTTCATTGGTCTACCTTGAGGACCTAGAATGATGTCTGGTGCATAGTTGGCAATTAATATATTCTTACTGAAAGGATGAGGGTCATCATCATCTCCAGCAATAGCAAATCAACAGGAGACATAACCTCTACACTTCCAGACTTTTGCTGATAATACAACCCCTGGGAGTTAGCCAAATAATGCTGCCTTCTTTGTGTTCCTTAAATGAATCATGTTTCCTCCACCTCAGGGCCTTTGCACATGTTCTGTCTTCTACTTGGAACTTTCTTCTACTCATTTCTGCCCAAGTTTGCTCTGCTCATCCTTTGAAGCTTGGCCAAGGCCTTAACTCCTCACTAAGGAAGCTCTAGATCCCTAGATCTACTCAGCCTCCTCCTGTCATGAGCTCTTACAGCTCTTGGTGACAACACACTATAATTGTAATTAAATAATTAACTGGTTGCAATTTAGTTGTTTAAAGCCTCTTTTCTTTGCTGGGATGTAAGCGTGCCTTTTTTCCAGCTTTATCCTTGACATCTAGTTCATATTCTCAGACTTAAAACATGTAGTTGCTCAGCAGATATTTGTTGAAAGAAACAACTCATGAATGAAATAATTATAAATATTTTTAAGCCAATGAGATAGTGTTGAGGTAGGATAACCTAATGAATAATCATAAGCCGAGCAAAAATGCATGTGAGTAACGACAGCAGTGGTAAAGTTTTCACCTACATTGTTGGTTGTGTTAAACTGTATGATCTGGTTGGCCAAGCTCCTGATGTGAGAGGTGGAAATGAGCGTGGCCACTTCAAGCTGCAATGAGAAGAGAACAGACTGAGACATTTAGAGCAACACACAGAGCCCTGTTTTCATAGAGTCCTTACTGGAAGAAACAGCCTGAAAGTTTATGAAATAAATAATGGAAGCTTTGATGGCATGCATTTTTGTGGTTGTGAAAATTTCTTTGATAACAGGCTCACTTTTCATTACTAAGGGTATGCTCCAAGCTACAGATAAAAGAACAGTTGTCATATATTTTCTGGCACAAAAATATTGGAATGTAAGACTAGGTCAAATATTTTGAAAGCAGGGAAAAAATATGGCAGGAAAGTGAGGCCAACCTGGGTAAATGGGACAATGTGGTATCTGATGAGTTCCAGAAGCTTCCGAGATCCCTGCAAAGGAATCAAAATACTTCTTTAGTTATGTGAAAACACAACTCCCCACCACTTGTGGGAACCTCCACAAATGACTTTGGGCACTTAGTCAAGAAAAGTAAATGACCTATAACCTCTTAATTGGGAAGTCCTGGGTGAGAAAATTCTCATCCTCAAAATAGTGAATACTCACCAAATTCCTACTCTGTAGTAGGGGCTGCTCTGAAAATATTATATGCACATCTCATGTAATCCTCCCCAAAGCCTGTAGAAACTGCTACTGACTCATTTTATGTGTGATAACACTGAGTTCTAAAGACATGTCCAAGTTCACCAAGCTAACTTGGGATAAAAACCTAAGAATTAGCCCACACTATTATCACTCTGCTCCCCTACCTCTCTGTATGTCTAAAGCTACATTCTGGATTTTCTAAGACAGCCTTAGTTTATGATTCTGCCTGCTTAAATGTCTGCTTGTCAGACCACATGCTGGTTATTAAGGAATATAAGTTCTTCTTTGCAATATCTGGTTAGGACACTTTTTCCTTTCTATGCTCCCATAATACATGGTCATCTCTCCATCAAAGTCCTTTTCAAGATTTCTCATACTTCACAAAACAAGCAGCAATGGAGACAAGAAGGTCTTGGGACTATAAACAGGATAGGCAGTCCCAACAGGATGCCTTGGAGAGAGCATACAGAATTGAGGAGTACAGGGACCATTCTCTTTGGTGGAAGAAGGTGGTTTTAGAGTTACAGGGAACTTAAAATACTGATTTGGCTGCTGAGAAATACTAGCAGAGCCAGGACAAATCAAACCATCCATTTAGACCTGGGATTGCATATCAATTTTATTTCCTGTAACTAGTCTCATTGATGGGTCATAGCTACTTGGGACTCCATTGAGGAGACTGAAACCACATCTAGGCCTAGTTCCAGAGAACTGTGATTGATTAGTGATGTCTGTTTTGGCTATGGGAAGGTAGATAGTAATCTGTCTGCTACTTATTTGCCATCCTCAATTTAGAAGAAGCCTGTATGGGTTCAGACTGAAGCAGTGATGCTCACATATATCATCAGAAAAAATAGATACAATACCTCTGGAGATAGGAGGTAATCCAGAGCACCATCCTTCATGTTATTTAATGCTTCATTACTTGGAACAAAAATGGTATAAGGTCCACCAACCCCATCTTCATCTAAGGTACGTCCCACATTGGTTTCCTGCATGGAGAAATGAAATTTTATTTCTGCAATCTATCTCAGACAAATATTTGTAGGAATCCTCAGCAAATATTTATAATTGACACTCCTGCTAATTTTACTAAGGACTGGACATAAAATATTTTACTAAGGACATGGACATAAAATATTTTTCAGAAATTCATGAAAAGTACATACCTCTAACAAAGATCTGAACTTGCTGTATCTTGGCTGTAGCATCATCATTATGGTTTGCTAAAAGGAGACATTTTGCTTAAAAATCATTTAACAAATAAGGTGGCTGAGGAAACAGACACCCTCATATTAAAAAGCTGATGACAGAGTTTATGTGTAAATGTGGATTGCTATAAAATGACCTGATCTCCAGGCCAGTGTCAATTTGGCCACCATTAAACAGGTCAGAGGGAATACATTTTTATTGCTGTGAGGACTGCCCTCTTCCGTCAAACATGAGGGATAAATTTTCATGACAATTGGCCACTGGTCTGAGTCATCAGATGTGGCCATAAACGAGGTCACAAAATTGAGATCTTTCCTACACCTGCTGCATGTCTTTCTTTCTCTCTGCAGACATACCCAGAGGTGCTGTTTCTCTACTAAAAACAGAAATGATCCCATTTTCCCCATGGTTGGGGTACTAGGCCAACTGAAGGACAAGCACTTAGTATTGTCATGCATTGTTTTTCTTTGGATGTGACTCTCCAGGGAGCAAAGGAAGATGGATTTGGGTTGACACCGTTTTTACCTGATGTGTCTCACCTCAGTGTTGCTCTTGAACGTGGGCACCATCCTGTCCATGGCTCTGTCCAGGATGTGCAGGAGCCCATTGGAGGCAATGATGTTCCCCTGTATAATTTTTACCTTCTTTTTGCCTCCAAGGAGTTTAAGCCTTATTTGATTGTCCTGAAACACAAAGAGAAATAAAATTAATATGGTGTCCGTAAAGGAGTGAGAACTGGATTACAAGTCTTGAGTCCTCGGGTTCTGCCGTTGTTTGGCTGTGTTATCTTGGGTAAGTCACTTAACCTGAAATGGGGATGATGGCATTTGCTTGGCTGATTTTGCAGGTCTTTTGTTAAGGTCAATGAGATAATGTGAGAAATCACTGAGGACTACCAATGACTGCTAAATGTGAAAAAGGCATTATAAATCCCCACACCTCCACCATAAACCACAAGGTCAAAAAGCAGATCTATAAAATTTACTGTAAATTCATCACCTACTTTACCATCTTATACAAAGAAGTCACACAATAAAAGATATTTCTTGAATGAGTGACTGATGCTAATTCTTTCTTTCTCCCATGTGGCTTCTACAAGTTACAGACTTAGTAAATATTTGTTGAATGAATGAATGAAGATAGCCACGTCTGTCTGTCTGTCTGTCTATCTATCTATCTATCTATCTATCTATCTATCTATCTATCTATCTATCTATCTATCTATCTATCATCTATTATCTTTCTATCTATCTATCATCTATCTACCTACCTATCTACCATTTATCCATTCATCCATCCATCTACCCATCCATCCACCCATTCACCCATCCATTTACCCATCTATCTATCTATCCTCACACACACAGTATAACACACTGGTTAATGATTCAAGCTTTGGAGTCAAAGAGACTTGTATTTGAATCCTGGCTCTGGCCTCTATTCTGTGACCTCTCAGTTTTCCCACTGGAAAAATCTCCTTCATGGGGTTGTTGCAAGTCTTATATGCTGTATGTAAAGATTTACCCCAGTATCTTACACAGAGTAAGTGCTCAAAAATCTATCAACTATTGACAATTAGTGAAATGTAGCAATATAGGCCATAACCCACCCGTGTACATTCTGTTGACTAGTTATGGGCTCTTCAGCTCAGTAAAGTCACAAAAAGAGTTATCTGTGAAAGGGGTAGTTTTATTTAAAAAGTGAACAAAACTAATGGCAGTAGGAGAGAAGGAATGTTAGGTCAGCAAGGGTAGATAAACTCCAGCAATATGAACCAAACAGGATCCCTTTCCTTTTGTAAGAGGAATGCTGATCTGGCCTGCGGCTGGTGCTTCCAGGAAACAGGCTGACTGCGACGTGTCTCCTTCCTGCTGACAGCTGAGTGAGGGTTACCTGGAAAGCTCATTCAGACCAGAGCAAAATCAAACACTTTTGAGCCCTCTTTCTGCAACAGTCCACTCCATCCTAGCTGACTCTGTCGGGTGCTGCCTTCCACTTTTTTCTACATAGGGAAGTGCTTTGACAAACCAGGAACAGGACAGAAATTATTCATCACCTTCACAATCCTGAAAACATTGACAATGTGGGCACTGACTAAGTGGGCTGTTCAGTTCTGGGAGTGAAATCAGAGGAAGTCTTACCTTATCCCCACTGAAGATTTCTCCTGACTTCCCAGTCAAGGTGTAGAACGTGTCTGTGTTATTCATATGCTCAGTGTCCATCTGCCCAGCAATTATGTGGAGTTTCACAAAGTACCGAGCCGCCTCACTATCCATCAAAAGCTCCTTTACCTGAGAAAAGAAAGCCAGGGCCTTTAGTCTCCACTTTTGTTGGAAGGAGAAAATGAGGTTTGTGACTCAGGCATTGACTTGTTCAGCATCAAAGACATCAAAGCCAGTGCACCCCAACTTGGGTCAGGCTTTAAAGGTGGAGAGTGGGAGGTGGAGCACGGTATGCTGGTATGCTCGCAAAGCACAGTAGGTGCTCTGATGCTGAGCGGACACTGTGGGGAGCCAGCACCCAGGCCAGCAGGAGCAGGGCAGGTGGCAGGCCCTGACGAAGCATCTTGACCCAGGAAGTAGATGGGAACGAAAAAGGAAGTTATGTGAAAAGAGGGGCAGGGTGGACTGATGGAGCTTTTGTTTGTGTTTTCTCTTTTAAAAAGTTTTAAGTTTATTGAGGAATAATAGACATAACTATATTGTGTTAGTTTTGGGTATACAACATAGTGATCTGATATTTCTATACATTAGGAAATGGTCATCACAGAAGTCTGGGGACCATCTGTCAACAATGTTACATTATTATTATTATTTTCTTCTTTATCCCCTTTACCTAATTTCTCCCCCACCTGCCATGTGGCAACCACTACAAAAATGTGGAATGTTTCACAAATTTGCTTGTCACCCTTGCTCAGGGTCCGTGCTCCTTTTCCCCTTCGGATGGAGCTTTGGAATAGTAAAACTAGGATTTTTGAAGTCCACTGAAACAAGTCTAGATTTTGCCAGTATTATATTGTTAACTATCAATCAACAGATAATGTTTATTACTTTGTGTAATTTTTATCTATATATTAAACAAGAGACCTCATGCAAAGGGCATCAATATTTATGCCAAAGGCCACAAGCATAGAGGCATCCAGTATTTACTAGTTCTTCCCCCAGCAGGAGAGAGATGGGGCTGTCTCTGAGGTCTGTGACTGATCACTTCAGACAGTACAGTGATGGGATGCATTAGGGTGAGAGAGTCTGGAATTTTCTGGCAGCAAAAATTATTATCACAAAATATGTTGGATTAAGATAGGCAAATTGTATACAAACCAATAGGCTCATTATCTACATTATACCAGACACAGCTATTTCACTGAAGCCATCATGATAGGAGGCTCCCACCAGGCATTGTGGGTTTCATTCCTGCTGCCTGACATTATCTCTGACAACCACTGCTCATTTTCGAAGACTACATTTTCTTCTAGTTTCCCTAGTCACTGTTATCATTAATGATAATTTTAAAGGAACAGATACCTAATACATTAGTTAAATTCTTCCTGTAGGAGATAAGCAGTTTTGCATTATGCAAATCTTATTTATCACATGACTTCAGTTAAGAACCCTTGGTGGTTACCCTTGAAGGGGTAATGACTGGAAGAGGGGACCAGGAGGCCTTGCAGTGTGCTGGTAATGGCTTGGCTGATACACAAGTGCACTGCCTTTGTGACAGTTCATTGAGCCGTGCACTTAAAATGTGTATACGTTGTGTAAGGATGTTCTATTTCACTACAAGAAGTTTACCAAAAAAATCGCCATCCTTATCAGCAGTAGGTTTCATTTTAATGGGGGTTTTCAATGTTAAATAAGAGAAGGTAGTGCCTAGTAAGGGTTTCGGTATAGGGTCATTTAAAATACTTACATTGAGTCCTTTGAGTCCCCTGTCTGTTGGCAACAGCACAGTGAATGGCCCCAGGTTACTTAGTGGCCAGGCATAGGCTTTGTCTTTAGAGTCAAAAAACAGAAAAAATAAACACCAAATGGGTCAGTGATACACGAAGAGTAAAATCAAGCAATGGTCCTTGTGGTCCATCCAGACCCTCTGATTCAAGAGCTTCTCTGTTCTGATAGGTATGTACAGGCCTGTGGCACACTGGGAACCTCTCTAAGGATGTAAGACACGATGGCTCTGTCCTTCTCCCTGTAGCCACAGCCTTGGCTCCTAGGATACCCTGGAAGGAGAGGTGCTGGGAGGTTGGTGTGGCCAAGTCCTCATCTGATCCCAGCGGGTCCATGACCTTTGCTGGACTTGCGGAGCTGCCACCATCTCAGTGGACAAAGACGGCCTTTGTTCCCTCAGGGCCACCTCAAAGGGCCTCCTGCTTGGTTTAGGGCTCTGCTGTTGCCATCTTGAAATGTCTAATAATTTTTGAGCAAAGGACTCTGCACTTCCATTTTGCATGGGGCCCTGCAAGTTATGTGGCTGGTTCCATTTCCACCCCCCTGGGGAAGTTGGGACAACAGGATGTGCTCTGTGCTGTGACACAGCAGCCTTTCAAATGCTCCAGCATTTCATAAACGGGGCAGGTGAAGGGTTGACTGGACTTGGTCCAGAGAGAACTTTGAGGGCCCTGTCTGCAAAGGGCACTCAGTCACCCGTGTTTGCTCTCATTGGATGGTCTCAGAGTTCTTAGAGGAAGGCTCTGAGGATCCTCAAGGTGTGCCGATAATGCCTGATTCCCCGCACATTTGTGTGGGATGCATGTTAAGGTGTAGGCCAAGAGCACATCATTGACATGACTGTGTTCTGTACGTGCTTCTCTGTGCTTTTTTTGGAAAATCAATTTTTGGGGACTGGTTAATTATGGACACTGATATTTTAAGGCTTCTGCTGATTGGTTGAGTCTGTGTTTTATTTTCTGGTGATTGGCCAAATGTGTATTTTATTGGAAGTCTTGTCTAATGCTGCAGTCAGCTGTGATGTTTCATTCTCAAGGGGTGTGGGGTGAAGACCCTTAGAGAGCATTTGGAAATACTGAGGCTGTTTTAGGTTGTCACCCTGCCTGGGGCGCTGGGGGAGAATGTGTCCCTAAGGACAATGAGTGGGTGGGAGGCTAGCCATGCTAAACACCCAGCTATGTGTAAGGTGGTTGTACACAACCAAGACTCTTCCCAGAATTCAAAGGCACCTTCACTGAGGAACATGGATGCTGCCTCACAGTCTTAGTTACTCTCTATTCCCTGTATTATCTGCCAGTCTTGGTTTCACCCCTGAAGGACCCACAGGTCAGGGGAGAGGATGGTCTCCATCCCCAGCAGAGCTGAGCTGCCCTGTCTCACTGATGTGGAAGACCTGTTAATCTACAGTGACCCTAGGACCCTGTCCTCAGCTCTCTGCCTACTCGTTATAGTGTTGCTGGGTCTCTTGGCATTCCTTGTCTCCTTGGATACAGTGGCCTGTCATTTCCCTCCCACCTACATGGCGCCTCCCTAGAGGGCTGGCCCCAGCAGGCAAGCCTTGCCTGGCATGCCCACCCCCTTCTGGACGATTGTGTCTTACAGTTGCCTTGCCCCAAAGAGGGTTGCATTTTATGCGGACATCAGCACCCACAGCTGCATACCCAGGAGTGAGATGAAAGAGGTCAGCCTTCCTTGCCATTTTCCTCTGGGTTCAATGTTCAGTTCTTGGAGCCGCTCCATGATGTTTCCGTAACATGTTAAGCCATTGCCCACGTAACCTTTCTGGCAAGTGCATCTAGAGAGAGGGTGTAAACACATTCTCAGGTTTTACAGTCATTGAACGTTGAGAGCATGCAGTCTAACTCCTTCATTTTGCAGACTGGGGAAAATGTTGCCCTGAGTATGCCAGCGACAAGGCCAGGAGGGCAGAGGCACAGACACAGGCGAGCAGGCCCAGCGCAGAGCCTGACAAATGGGAGGTCCGCCAGCAATGGGTGTTTAATAAATTATGCTTATCTAACTATAAACACTGGATAGTTTTGTATACTCTTTGTCTCAGTATTTTTCAAAGTGTGAGCAAGAGACCACCGTACATCGGAATCACGTGGAGGGCTCACTATAAACACAGATTCTGGGAACCCACTGCAGAACCACTGATTGGAATAAGCTATTGAAACCAACCTCAGGTAAAGAGTCAGAGCTACTCATCTGCTTAGAAGACTCTTCCTTCTCTTCCATTCTCACCTTCCCAGCTGAGGTCTCTGCTCAAGTGTCCCTTTGTAGAAGGACCTTTCTCATTGTCTATCCCCCACCACTGCCGGCTATGGATCAGAAGCCCCTTGGTGTGCACTCTCCTGGTACCATGCAGTTCTTCTCTGTAGCTCTAATCCGTGTTGTAATTTTATCCCACCCTGTGTAGTTACTTGGTTAATTTCTGCTTCCCCATCTAATTTGGGAAAACAGTGAGGACAATGGTTTTGAGTGTATTTACTCATGGTTGTAACTCCAGGGTCTCACACAGGGCTTGGTCCATAAGAGCTACTTATTAATATTTATACAATAAGTAGTGATTGAATTAAAACAAATATATAAACAATGAAAGTCACAGAAACTTTATAGAGTAGTTTACTTTCATAAAAGACAAACAGAATTAAGGACACAGCTTAAAGATATACTAGCAGTGGGGTGGTGGTGAAAGCTTAACAACCAGCTTTCTAGGTGGAGAGAAAGCTCCGATTTTGTAGCATCTGCCAATCTCCAGGGGTCATACTCTCACCTTGGCTAATCTCAAACTACTAGGGTGATGCCAACTGGCTTGCAAAATTCCTGAAAACTTTTGACAATCAGCCCTTGTGAATCAGTAAGCCCTGGCTCTGGCATGCCACTGCTACCAAGCAAAGATGAGTTGAAGGCTGGCTAAAATTGGCAAGGTGCTTAGGAAGGGGACATTCAGCAGGATCCTGGAGATAAGTGGAGAACCAAACACAAGGTTGGGGAAGAACAATTCAGGGAGAAGAGATGGCAGGATGTTGTGGTCATGTCTCCCACAGATAAGACTCAGGTTTAGCAGAGGATTCCAAGGGACTATAATACCCTCGTGAATCCATTGTGTTTCTAAGTAGGGTCTCAGGGCAAAGAGATTTCAACAAGTTTGCTGAACAAATGTTTCGGAGTTCTCTCACCCCTTGCTTAGATTGCTGCAATGACTTCCTAAATGGTTTTCCTGCCCTTAGTTTTCCTCACCTCAAATCAATCCTTAATGCAACCCTCTGAGCAGTCTTGCCAAAAGGGAAATCTGGCACCCCTGTGCTTAGAACTCTCATGGACTCCTTTCATCGCTAGGATGAGGCACAAGTGCTTAACCTGGCATGCAAGGCTCAGAAAGGGGGATCTTGCTTATGTCTCCTTCCTGCTGTCCACTGCAAATTCCAGCAATGCTGAATTGCTTTATTTTTTTCAATTAAACAAAGGACTGAATGTTCTTCTCAGGCCATGTGCCCTGCCAGGAATGCTCTCCCAGCCCTACCATATAGATCACGTGTGACATGGGACCCCAGACTCTCCCTGACAGGAGCATCCTGTTGATACCTCTGTCAGATCTTTTCTGCCAAAGTAACCTCTTGAGGTGCCATCTCCTCTGCTGGATGGGAAGCTCTTCTAGAACCTGGATCTCACCTTGTTCCTCATGACATTTCAGCCCCTGAGATAGTGCCTAATTGTTGAACTGATTAATTACCAAGTACCTACTTCATTCTAGGAGCTTTGGTAGGTAAGAGGGTTACAAAGATGATAACAACAGACATCTTGCCCCTTTAGTGTCCTGATGGAGATGGACCTGAAAGCAAATAATTTAAAGCAACATGATAAGGCCACTTCACTTCCCCATGCCCCGGTTTTCTCATCTATGAAATGGGTTTAATAATACTGTCAGGGTGGTTGATAGATGAGATCATGCATGGAAAACAGCTGGCACAGTGCCAAACACATAGAGAAATGCAATACCTGGTACAGGAGGAGGATAACATGGACAACAGTGATGATGGAGATGGTGGTGCTACCACCACCAGTGATGTGGAGGGGCTGGGAGATAGCAGGACAAGTCCATGAACACATAACTTAAGCTCCGTGGAAGTCATGACAGAAGATTGAAAAGGATGCTGTGTGCATGGAGGGGGAAGTGACTAATTCTGCCTGGAGAAATCTGGGACAGGTTCGAGGAGGAAGCAACATTCAAGATGATTTCAGGACACATGTGAGTTTCCCAGTCCAATGGCTGATTGGGAGATCACTTACTGACTGGGCCTTCAGGACTTCTATAGAGCACTTACTCTCAACAGGGGCAGATCTGCCTCCAGGGGATATTTGGAAACATCTGGACATGTTTTTGGTTGTCACACCTGGGGTGAAGTTGCTACTGGCATGTAGCAGATGGAGGCCAGAGATGTTGCTAAGCATGCCACAGTGCCCAGGATGGCCCCCATCCCAGAGTTAACTGGCCCTGAACATCAGCTATGCTGAGGCTGAGGAACCTTGTTAAGAGGAATCACTTGTTATCGCCTTGCTATAAGGTGGAGGTAACCATGGAGTTGTAGTCTGTTTAATACAATCAAGTTTCCTGTCAAACACCGGCTTCCTCTGCAAATACTGTGATATAATGAATTTGAGGAGGTGGAGGGGGAGGCCAGTAACTGTTAACAAGTGATCCAATGGTCCTTGTTGACAATTAATCCTGCTCCAGATTACGTACATTTCATTTGAAGACAGCTGTTAATAGCAAGACAAGTAACTTTCAAACCATGAAACACACTTCTGTCTAAGGGTTCCCTAAGTTGTTATGAGGCCAATGGTCTGTTTCATGTCAAATGACTTGCCATATGGAACGAAGGCAGGAGACTGTATTTTAATGGCCACGGTGCTGAGTGAAATGCATAAGCCATAAATACTGTTTACTTTTACTTAAAAGTCTCAGTCCAAAGTCTGAGACTTCATGAGACCATCTTCTGACTTAAATGTGAAACAGCCACAGCATTGTCTTGGGTGTAAATCAGTTCTTTTTGAGGAGTAAAGTCTCCTGCTGCTTGAAGGCTTTAAAAAGAACCATAACCCATTTATTTATATTTTATAAGTTAGGGGCTGGTCTTAATTACATATAATGCTGGATGAAGTTTAGTTAAATTATAGGGTGTCCCAAAAGTCTTACTCCTTCATTTCTTTACTTGTTCATATTATTCCTCCATTAATTCATTTGTTCCTCCAAACTTATTTCATTGTTTTAACTGTGTGACAATAAAGATGAATAAGACATGAGGACTGAGATCAGTAATGACAATATAGCGAACATCTATCTATTGATAACCCAGTTACTCTTCCAGGTGTCTCATTATGGTATCTTATGAATGACAATCCTATGATGAGGGCTCTGGTATTAGCCCTATTTAGATGAGGAAACTGGGGTACAGAGAGGTTAAGTCTCTCACTCAAGGTCACACAGCCTGTAAGTGGCAGCAGCTGTGTTCATCACCACTGTCATGTTCTCATCACAATTCCCGGTGATAAATGTGAAAACAGAAGCATTTCAGGTGCTGTGGGACCCCTGGGAGAAGGCATCTGAGTGGACTGGGAGGACATGGACGACATTCGAGAGGTGGAGATATCTGAGCTGAACAAGAAAGGATCAGTATGTTGGCCTGACTCAGAGGAGGTAGGGAGGGGAGGATGTCTAGGCAAGGGGAATGGCGTGTGCAAGGGTGTGGAGGTGGGAATATTGCCGCATGTCTAAAGAACAGTAGTGGTTTGGTAGAACTAGAGCCACGGGTGTGATCATGAAAGCAGTGGAGACAACGTCGGCTCATTTACAACCACCCACCCCACGGCCACTTGCTGGGGAGAATGGTACCAGGCAGACCCCGTGTAGGTCCTGGAAGCTGGTTTGCAGCCACTTGGGGGGGATTGCAGGGCTCTGGGTGCCCAAATATGGTCTGTAAGGGGAACTCAGGCTGTGGGAGAGCATGTCCCCTTGATCCTTGAGACCCCTTGTCCTGCTGTAGTCAGAGGATGGTCAGACGAGGCTGTCTAAGATGCAGTGTCTGGGGCAGGGCCCCTGCTGCCTGGGTCTAATGGTCATAACCTGGAACACGTCTGGAAGTGGCTGGGCTGGAATTTAAACCCAGGTCTATCTGGAAAAGCCTCTTGCCATTGCACCACGTTGCCTTGGACTCAATTCTTGGGAGACTGTTCACATCAAGGAATCCCAGCCGTACAAGTCTTATACAAACATTGTATGTCATCTGCGTCACTAACGTTCCAAGAGCCTCCAGATTTCAGTGTGTATCGTGCATTTGTACAGCTGGAATGTAAACCGCCCCTTCTTCAATGTGCTTTCTCCGTCATATCCAGTTACCATTTCAACTGAACTGAATCAAATAAGAGAAAATCCTTTTATTTTACCACTTGCTTCACCTCTACTAAGGTGAAAAGTAAAGCTTAAAAGGATGTTTATATGCATTAGCTTGTTATCCTTCCCCAGGAGAGATTCCTGGTCTCCAGCCCCACTTGTCAGGTGAGGAACTGTGGTTCAGAAAAGCTACATGACTTGCCCAAGGTCACTCGGTGGTCAGTGGTGGAGCCCACATTTGAACCGATTCTTTTTTATTGGGTGGGCTTCTGTGACTCACACAGTGTGATTTTTAATATTCTGCATAAACGACTTGCCATATTGAGGAGGCATGAATGAAATAAATCTTTATCCTGTGTGAACTAATTGCCTCAACTACATTACTGATGGCCCCACAGTTTATCCGTGTAACTTAGCCACCCTTTAATGGAGGCCTCTTTCCAGCTGAAGACAGTCTACTTTTGGAGGAGGGGTTAATAGGGGGTTTGGGAATGACACACCTTCCCCTAACACTTGTCGTTACTTCCACTGACATTCTACACACAAGCTTTAATGCCGTTTACCTTATTCTGAGGATCCAGTTTTATTTTTGATTTTGTCTTCTTAAACATAGAGGGAAAAAAGTATTAAAGTGTTCAAACTCTCTCAGAGGATGGATAAAGCTGGCTTATTTGGTATTACCAGAATCCGTGTTTGAGGAGGAGATGAGTCTGTACACACATGTGTGTTGGGGACAAATGTGCCTATATCTGTGGCCTCGGTGTGTTTGTGAGTGTGATCGCATGTATGGAGTGCTTTCTACCTGCCAGGTTCTGCTCAGAGATTGGTGAATGTAACCTCATTTAATCCTCATCACAGGCCTGGTGGGAGGTACAATTCTCCTCCTTTTCTGACAGAGGAAACATAATTCAGAAAGGTCAAGGTAAATGGCAGGCAGAGCTGGGACTTGAATGCAGGTGTTCTAACACCCAACTTCTTCCCATTCTGCCCACAGTGACTACGGATCTACTTATGTGCCCAGAGAAAACATGGTGATCAAAAACCTATCTGGGCAAATGCAGCTATAAAAGGAAATGAACTTTAAAGAAGATAGAAGGGGGGTCCGGAAGCACAGCAGCTATTTAGTAATTACACGGGTCAATGTCTGTTATGGTTTTGAGCTCACATTGACAGAAAGAGTCCTTGAGCCTCAGTTCACCCAATAACAAAAACACAATACAGTTTCTAGAACATTTTCTCATGTAACCTTCACAATAACACTATGAAATAGACACCACTTGCTCATTTGACACATGGTGCCACCCTTCCAAGGTCATACGTCTGGGGACCAGTGCCAAGACTCAAACAAGGTCTTTCAATTCTAAATACCATCCCCCACCCACCGCACGAGCTGCCTCTGCCTCAGGAATTTTTGTGCAAATATTTTTACTCACAGTAAACCCTTTCTTTGAAACCTGGGGTTCAGGAAACACCACCAGTGTTTATTCATTTTGCCTAGTCTTGTTCTGAACCACCAGCAAGCAATTTTTCATGATGTGGAAACAGGCATATACGTTAGAGGTCAAATCGCAACACACATTTGTTTTCCTAGTGGCAGCGGCTTCCTTCATCCACATGCTGACCACTTCATAGCAAGTTATCAGGCTGGGTCAATACTCCAGAGTATTCCAATGGTCATTGTAAAGGAAATGATTGTTGAATGATTCATGATTATGTAATGATTTCCTGAATACCTACTGTGCTCTTTGCACTGTGCTCTGTAGGGGGATTAGGGTAGGAGTGGACACAAGACTGAGGGAGACACATTTCCTCCCCTTTTATGTAAGTTAGAGCATTGACATTGATGGCCATCACTTGGAAAGATGGTGGTGGAGGTTAAAAGACTTACTTGGTTTGGCCTGGTGCGATGGTGGTGCAGTTTGCGTTCTTGTGACAGGGGTTATGAGATTCACAGATATTGGTCACACTGCAGCCCACTCCAGGAACAAAATTGTGGTAATGTTCCTTACACTCACAGTGAGACTTCAGCAGACAGAGAAACACAAAGAGTGTTCTAGTTAGTCACATTCTGCTTTAGTGCATCTTTATCTTGCCACAAAAATGAAGTTGGCACAGGTCCAAAGTGTGGGCTTCAACTGAAAATTTGTCAGTGCCCAGAATTGGAAATCACATCTACGTATCTCACCTCTTGGGAAATTCATACACCTTGTTTAGTAAAGTTTACCTTTTCAGTTTCCTTGCTTCCTAACCCTGGGCATCCCTGGCTCCATAATTCCTGATTTTAGATCATCAGCAGGTGAGCAGAGATGGAGGTTCAGGTGGGAGGTGTTAGTGCCCCAAAATAGAGGTTTTCAACTGGGAGTCTCAACCCAAAGGACACTGGGCAAAGTCTGGAGGCATTTTTGAGTGTTGCAGCAGGAGAGGGGGCACTGCCATGAGAGGCCAGGGGTGCTGCTAAACACCTTAGCAGTGCATGGCACAGCGCCCCAGCAGAGAGTTACCTGGTCCAAAATGTCCATAGTGCTGATGAGGAATGTGGCTCGGGAGCCAGGGAGCAATGCTTACAATGTGAACAATGGAGGGTTTCTAACCCTGGAACATCTGCCTTGGGACCCATTTTTTGAGATAAAGTATGTTTTTGATGTCACTCTCGAGGTCCTGGGACCTTGGTGCAGAGTGTAAGGTGACTTTTCCCACTGGGACCCTCATTTTTTGAGGATGGAGCATCAGCCCCCTTGAATTTTTTTTGCAAACCTGCTTCAGAAATTGAAAGCAGGAATGTCATACAATAGACTCTTGTCCTCAGACATGAGATGGGATGGGTTCTCTGCAGGGAACCCAGGAGCATTCCCGTGGGGTGCTGATTAGATGGCTGGGGACCCACGACTGCATGTGGGTCGGGCACCGAAGCCTTTCCCCCTGCCTGTGTAGCAATAGCCTTCTGTATGGATAGATTTCCTCCACAGAACACTTGGTGTACAGTTATGGGCCCAGGGGGCGCCCACTAATTATTTGATGGCTGAAGGAGCTATTAAGGAAAGGGTTCTTTCAACCAGACTCTTCAGCAAAGGTCCTCTGACCTGGCTGATTTTTTCCAGTCAAGGTCATGATGTGGCTTGGAGGGGCAGGGTCTCATCCAAGAACATCCTTAGTCCTCCCTACAATCTGTCACTGCTGCCTGACCTTTTATTAGGGACAGAGTACTTTTGGCTCTAAGCATCCTCTCTTACCTTGAAATGACATTAGAGAGAATGGAGGGTTATGGGTGAATGTCAATTACTTATTCACCTACAACTCGGTTAACAGCCAATTTGTTAATCTAATTTGAATTGTGTATATATTTCATCAGTCACCGTATAAGACTGGGACAGAAGAGAACCCAGGACAGTTAAGTTTTGGCTGGGGGCTGGGAAGGTGTGAGTTCAGAGGATGGCTGGAGGAAGGGGCACACTGTGGTCAGCCTTCTGTGCATGGAGATCTGTCTGGGAAGGAAGCCCAAAGGGAGCCCTGAAGGCAGAACTGGGAAGGCATAGAAGACGCTTATACCCCCGGCCCAGTTCTACCTGCAGTGGGTTGTCCTACTTCTAGACACATTAGTTCCAGGCATCATTTGCTCACCTGTCCAGGCCCATCATATTTGCACACTGTAGACACTGGGGGGCAGTTTCCGTAGTTATTTTGGCAGGGGTCTACTGGTAAGCACACGTGGCCATCCCCGTGGAAGCCTTCTTGGCATGTACAACTGTGCCGGTTTGGCCCCAGGTACGTACAACGAGCGTGAAGATGGCAGATATTTTGTAAACATGGATTGATGGCTTGAAAAGGCAACGACAGAATAAGAGGCAGTTACTCAGGGATGGAGACGGAAAACTGAACTGAGATGGGCCTGCACGTCACAGCTCATCAAAGTCCCAAGGGCAATGCAGCAATTTTAAGAAAGGGGGAAACTTTTCATCTTACCCCACCTGATCACCGCCAACCACCACATGGATTTATATATGGCCATCAGAGGGTATACCTACAAATATTGTGTCGGCATATTATAACGTCATGTTAGGTTTGGATTTAAATATAAAATAGCATGAAAAAAAGCACTAACGCTTACAGAATTTATAGTATGTCCTGGGCCCTGTTCTAAGCATTTGCCATACAGTAACTCAGCTGATCCTTTCAGTTCTCCAAGATAGGAACCATTATTATCCCCATTTGATAGATAGGAAAATGGACAGGCAGGTTAAAGAATTTGTCCGAGGTCATGTAGTTAATCATAGGCAGATCTGGGATTTGAACCCATGCAGTCTGGCTCCAGAGTTCATGTTCATAAAACAACAGAACCTCTCCCCAAGTGAATGAGCATGAATTGAGAAAGAAAAGAAGAATGAAAGAAAGAAGGGAAGGAAGGAAGAAACAAACACATTTTATCCTAATGTTGATACAGGTGACAGAAAAACAGGTAAAATCTATTTATGCATTTTGATAAGAGAAGGAGAAATTGACATTTATTGAAAAGCTATCACATCATGAGCACTTTCCTGTCATTTCTTATATATTTCATTCAAGTATATAGACAGAAATAGAGGTTGTGTTAATATAGGGAGGTTGGGGAATTATTTTTTCTGTTGAGTAACCTAAACTTGATGAATGAGCCAGTGGAATCTAAACTCTACTTACGCTCGCAGTATTTGCCATCGCCTTTGTAGTTGGGAAGGCATTTGCATTCCAGTTTTGTTTTATTTCTGCTGGAAGGTGAGCATCTGGAATTTTCTCCACAAAGCAAGTGTGCACATTCAGGGATAGCTGCAAAGGAAGATTATTGAGGTAATTGCATTAATAACTGGCTTGAAAATACTCAAGAAATGCAAGATTCCCTACTATTAAAATATTAATAGAGACTCACTGTAACAACTTGAAAAAATACCAAGGGTAGAAAGTAAAAATTAACTTCTATTATTCTTATGCTCCCATCTCATTCACAAAGTGACTAATGTCAACAAATATACTACAATCATTTATAAATATATTTATGTGATTTTTTTAACAAAATGGAATCCCATTAAAATATTTACCAATGTGATTTTTAATTTAACAATATATTATGGAGGTCTCTAAGGTCTACTTTAATATCTAGTAACTGCATAGTACTTCATAAGATAGGTGAGGCATAGATGGCTGTCAAACTATTAAGAATCTGACATTTTGCCCAACTTACAAAGCTAATAAGTTGGATTGATCTTTATTGTGGCTGCTGGTAGAAGATATGAGACTCCTGGGTCAGAGATAACAGACCATTTATCACTCACATCAAAAGCGAGTGTCAGCATTTTTGCATCATTTCTTCTAAGCTCCAATTCCCATGGAGCAATGCGAAGAAGGGCAGATTGAGACCTGGACATGCACTGGATTTCATTACAGGAGAGGAACCCTGATCTTAGGGAACCTAAGTTTTTTTTTATTGTTGTTGTTTGTTTTTATAGTTAATATATTAGTTAGATCCCAGGCAGGAGACAGAAACCACACAGTTATTTGAACAGAAAAAGTTGTGGTGTAAAGAATTATAAGCAGAGAAGTGCAATAATAGGGAATTGGCTCAGGAGAGTTAAAAATAATTCTAACAAAGGAATAGCAGATATATGAAGGGCAACCACTACCCTAGGGCTGAGATAAGTACCCAAGGGAGAGCCCTCCTCTCTCTAGGGCTGAGAGCTAGATGACACCAGAAAGAACATGGCCTTGGGCACTGCATGGTGGAGAAGGTGCTGAGGCGCCTTGGTGGTGAGACTTGCTGGAAATTTTCCCTCCACAGAGAGGTGCCACCCCTCAGTATTCACTTGGTGTGTGGGGAAGATGCTTGGCATGGGGCATCTGGAACCAGGAGCTAAGGAGCCACCTCTCAGAACCATAGTGTACTTCTGGCTGTGACTGGGGTGGGGTCGTTGCTTCAGGGCTAGTTATGAGGAACAAAGGTGGAGAGGTCAGCTCTCCAGAGAGCCAGCCCTGCAGGGTCCTGTGTGTGCATGGGGCCTGGGAGGAGGCATATGGTGCAGCACTCCCCTGGCCTGGGGCACAGGCCTGCGCTGTCCAGGGATCCTGGCTATGCCACTGCTGCCTGAGTCAAGCATAGGCAGAGTGTGCAGTGTCCAAATGCTGGAAGAAGCTGAGCTCTGCAGGAATGCTGCCCTGAAGAAACTGTAGAGCTGACCACAGGAGAAAAACCATGTTCATCAGGAACCTGCCAAGTGAGCTAAACCAGAAATAGGAAGAGAAAACCCTTCTCCTTCAGTGTCCTTCCAGCACCCTCTCCTCATAAGGCTTCACATCTTGCTGTCTGGCAAATGAGAAATATTTACAAAGCTCACCTCCATTAGCACAGAGCAGGCACAAAGGATGAATTTGGAGCTGAGAGGCAATCTGCTGATAACTAACACAAGCAATAAGCATGTCTACACTTGGCTCCTAAGGGAGATCCTATATCTTCCAAGGCTGTTTGCTATATAGACATCCTTGAAAAGATGTTGGAACAAAGGCCAGTCAGTCTGTAGCTCTCCAGATGTGCACACATATGACTCATGGAGAACTGTCTCTCAGCAGTGTCTAGTTGAATACAAAATTCATAAAGAATATGTCCCACTCCCTCCATAAATAGAATCGTTGCTGGGAAGTGGCTGCCCCTGTAGGATTACATTTCCAACCCCTCCTTGCATCCAGGTGGGGTCATGTGACTAGTTTACATTGATAGAATATTAAGTGGAAGTTCTATGTACCATTTTGGACTTTATAAGCAGATGCCTCTCTACCATCTCTTGTTCCTTCCATAGCTCAAAGCAGAGCACTCTGAGGTGCTGTAGAATGGCACAGGCACAAAATGGAAAGATCTGGATCTCCGATCACCATGTGGTGGGAAGCTGGCATCAGCCAGGAACACTGGACTCTTAGATGAATAAGAAGCACACGTCTGTTGTGTTAAGCCAGGGGTTCCCCACATTCTCGGATCCTGGTGCCCTTAGGATCTCAATAATTTTTTTGTGGCACCACAGGCAGAAACATGTACCAAATCCATTTATTAAGTTGTAAGACCCAAAGAATTCAGTAGCTATTTATGTCATGAGAACTTAGTAGCCATTTGAAAAAGTAATGTGGTCAATAGAAAGACTGGTATTTTTATTTCATTCATAAATAATCACATTTACTTACTTGACGTACACTACACAACCACTCACACCTTGGAATGAGATTGGAAACCACTGCCCTCATTCTGTTTGAAATGTTTTCTGCATGATACTTGCTCTTTGTCACAATGACCACTGGAAATACAGCTTTGCAAAGATACGACACCCTTACAGGAATGTAGTGTTACCTAATGTTGAAATTGTAAACTAATGCAAGTTGGCAGTTTGTATGGTATTCTGCAGACGTACCCCTGTTCCCCTCCAAAATTGAAGCCATCCCATTGCAGCTTTCTGAGTTTGATGTGGTCCCTTGGGACGCCTTGGTGCAGTTTTGGAAACATAGTGATAAGGCATTACATTTTTGTGTTTCTTTCTCACAGCAGCTAGCATTTCCCTTGGTAGTAAAGGATGTACCACAATCTATTCAACCATTCCCTACTGATGGGCGTTCAAGTTGTTTCTAGTTTGTTTTGTACTTACTAACAATACTGTCATTAATTTCTTTGTACACATATTCTTTCCTACTGGGGCTTTCCCCTCCCGTCCTCCAGGTAAAGTCCTAGAATGAGGGCTACAGAAGCAGTCTGTAAGCATTCCTTACCATTTAACCCATCAACTTCCCTCACAGGTTGTAGCATTTCATGCCCCACTGACAGTCCTGTAATTTTTCTCACATCCGCAAATACATAGTATCAGTCTTTTCAATCTGTATAACATAGTGGGAAACAAAACTCCAGAATTCCAAAATACTACTTCCTTATGGTTTTAATTTGCTTCTCTGTGATTCCTGAAAGGGTTAGGCACCCTTTCTATGCTTATTAGCTCGTTTTCATTTCTTCTCCTGAGAGTTAGCGGCTCATTGGTCATTTTAAAAATTGAGTTTATGGGCTTTATATTATTTAAAAAACTTTTCTGCCACATAAATTACAAATATTTGTGCCTTAGTCTATTATTTATCTTCCAACTCAACAGGGTTATTTTGTCATTTGGAGGAAAATCTGTCCATGCCATGTATTAGGTTGGCTTATGGGCTGGGTCTCACGTCTTCCTAAAAAGGCTGTTGCGTATGAGTCATTTAGCAATGACAGGAGAAGCTGGGGAAGGAGGCTGACTGGGGTCTACAGAAGGGGTCATCCTGTCCAGCTCAGTTGCCTCCTACTGTCAATTCCAATTGAAACATCAGAAGAAGATGTTTCCACAGACAGAAGGAGGAGGAGGTTGTATTTTATGCATCTTCCTGACTTCCACTATACATAGCTCCTCAATGATTTTCAATAAAACGAGTTTGAATTTGTTGAATTTGAATCTTACCCAGTCCTTCATTTTACAGACTAGGAGGGTAAAATCCAGAGGATAAATGAGGTTAGTACCACAGGCAGGATGCCCTATTTCTTAATGTCAAATTTCCAGATTCCCTCTTCATCACGTGCTCTGTGATAATGGACCGGATTCTGACCATTTCTCCTTTGCAGTGGTATGTTAAGCTGGCCCAGTAGGGGGCATGGGAGGGCCGCTGAAGGAGGAAGTGGCTCCTCTTCCTGGTTCCCTTTGTGTGGTGGTGTGCTTCTGCTGTTTGCTTGCTCGGTGGTGCGGGGCTGGGAGGACACCCAGAGAGGCTCTGCTACAGCTGTGCACGCAGAGTGCAGTCTCTGGTGACCTTGCATCCTTGGCCTGGACCGCCTGACCAGCTTCCCATACAGACACTGCACACTCAGGTCTGGCACCCACACAGGTTTGGCGCCCACAGCACGCCCGCTCCCTCTGTACGGCAGCCTTGGCTCGCCAGCGCCCTGTCAGGAAACTAGGGCCCCGTGCTGACTTGGGCAAACCAGCTGACTTCTCTACTCCCGTGGGCTGCCACCCTACCTCCTCCAAGATGTGAACCACATCCTTCCAAGTCTGTCCTTTTCTTTGTTATGCTCCGTCAGCCCTGGAGTTCACTTTGCATTTTTATAGCCACTCTCCCATCATAGCTCACTAATTCTTTTTTTTTTTTCAGTTTTGCTTCAATTTTTTATTTTTATTATTTTTATTTTGGCATCATTAATATACAATTACATAAGCAACATTGTGGTTACTAAATTTCCCCCATTATCAAGTCCCTACCGCATACCCCATTACAGTCACTGTCCATCAGCATAGTAAGATGCTATAGAGTCACTACTTGTCTTCTCTGTGCTGTACTGCCTTCCCCGTGTCCACCCCCCACATTATGTGTGCTAATCATAATGCCCCTTATTCCCCTTCTCCCTCCCTTCCCACCCAGCCTCCCCAGTCCCTTTCCCTTTGGCAACTGTTAGTCCATTTTTGGGTTCTGTGAGTCTGCTGCTTTGTTTCTTCAGTTTTTGCTTTGTTCTTATGCTCCACAGATGAGTGAAATCATTTGGTACTTGTCTTTTTCTGCCTGGCTTATTTCATTGAGCATAATATCCTCTATACCTCACTAATTCTTTATGACAGTAGGGAAATCAGCAGTACTTACGCTTATCACAGTTGGGGCCAGTGTATGCAGAGTAGCAGTCACAGGTTCCATCACCATCTATTCCACTGTTGCACACACCATGCACACAGTTGCACACTGCAGACAGAAAATGGGGATTTTTCATTGTCTGGTATAGACTTCTTCTAAAGATTTTGGAAAGGTAATGTTTTCAGATCATTTTATTGAGAATCTGCATGATGAGATGGGGAAAACCCTGGGTTTGAAATCCTAGAGACCCTGATCTGAATCATGGCTTCATTTTCCTTTTATTTGCTTCAACTTATTTATGTTTACCATGTGGATCATGAAGCCTATCTCACAGGATTTCTATAGAATTCAATGAGACGAGGTAAATCAAGTATCTGGAATGTCATGTGCATTGGAATTCATTTCTCTACTTTAAACTAGTTACTCAGTCTTTGGATACTTCAAGAAAATAAGTAACTTGGTGTTTTATAATATACCTGTCACATTTTAAAGAGAAAAGCTATCACTGACTTAATCACTATTGGTAGCAGGAAGCTATGGAAATAAATCCTACCTCCAGGATGATGGTGCAATTCAAGTATAAAATTCGAAAGGGCAGAGAGTAGCTATGACATGTTTTCTAGCTTAAAATAGATGGCTTATCAGCCCAGTGACAAATCATTTCAGGAACAAGAAATGAAGGACATTTGAAATATATGGGTAACTCTTTAACCCTCAGTTTACAGCTCATTTGTAGCAAAATTTACTACCTGGCTGAGTCACCAGCATCCTACACCCAGACCTCTGTGAAGCATATTGTACTAGTTTCCTTTTACTGCGGTAACAAATAGTAACTTAAAACAACAAACTTAGTAACTTAAAATAACACAAATGTATTATCTTATAGTTCTGGAGGTCCGAAGTCTGAAATGTGTCTCACTGGGCTAAAATCAAGGTATCCATAGGGCTGTGATTGGTCTACATGCTCTAGAGAAGGATCTGTTCCCTTGCCTTTTTCTGGCTTCAAGGTGCCGCCTGCATTCCTTGGCTCACAGCCCCTTTCTCCATCTTCAAAGCCAGTAACATCAAGCCAAGTTCTTCTCATGCTGCATTTCTATTGGTCCTCTTTCTTCTGCCTTCCTCGTGTACTTATAAGGACTTATATTATTATTTTGGGGCCACCTAGATAATCCAAGATAATCTTCCTATCTCAACAAATCAACTGATTAGTACTTTTAATTCCATCTGCAGCCTTATTTCCTCTCTGCCAGTAATGGAACATAATCACAGGTTCTAGGGATCAGGACATGGACATCTTTGGGGGACCGTTAGTCTGCCCAGCACACATGTGTTCTGTGCATGTAAGCTAATTTAATAGTAACTCAAGTGAAACATAATAATTAAGAAAATCAACCTGCTTAAAAACCTTACCAAATGCTGGAAAGGCAAGGATTAATGAAGTACTCCAAGTATTAATAAGCCATGAAATCTTTTGAATTCTTTGTTGTGTGTCACAACTCAGTCCCCTGCTTTTCATGTCCATCAGAACGACAGTCCTCATTCAGGTGCTCATCACGTTTGCCTGGACCATCACAACAGCATTTCTTCTGGCCTCGCAGTCTAATTTCACACCTTTCTATTCCATCCAGTTCATTTGATCAGTAATGGCATCAGGGTGTTCTTCCCCAAAATATCTCAGTGACTCCCAATTGCTAACCAAATGAAATCTAAATTCCTCAGTTTGGCAGACAAGGCTCTCTCCCATCTGACTCCAATGTTTAAAATTTTTGATTTTCACTTTCCACTGCTTCATATTATACATCTTTGGTTCTAAGGCCATGGGATGACTCATTAGTTTATCTTCCTTCCTTCAAAACATGTATTGAACATCTCCTATATACGGGGCACTGTGCTTGGGATTAATGACCCAAAGAGAAACAGGACAAAGTCCCTGCCCTCAAAGTCTAATGGCAGAAGCAAACGGCCCATCACAGCGCAGTGCGATAAATGTTATCACATGGTGGATCAATGGCAAAGGAATTGGCCAGGAAGAGATGGGTAGGGCTGGCCTAGCAAAAAGTATGCCATGCATCCTGCACTTCCATACCTCCACCCTCTTCCTCGGCTGTGCTTCCTCTTGCATGCCAAAGGAAACCCTCCTCACCCTTCAAGGCCAGCCAGGGCCCCCACCTCTGTGGTGCCATCTCAGAGGTGCCAAAGCAGAATCTGTGTTTCTCTGGACAACAACAGCATTTTTGACCGTCCCGCTATTGCATCTTACCGCAACAATGAATTCTGTCCATGCCTGACAGCTGAGTACCACCAGGAGCAAACCAGTGGTCAAACAAAGTCACCAGCAAGGGTCAGCTGCCATCGGTAAGGAGGTGTAGCCACCCATGGTAGCCAGGAGAGGCAGCTGTTGGGTTATTTTCATGGTGCCCACTGTCACTGCATGCTTCTCTGTTCAGACGTCATTATGCAGTAGCCTGGGGTTTGTCTTCTGCTGGCATGGATATAGTGAGTCTTTGATGGTGATATTCTGTGAAATCATTTATGCTCAGCAGGGCAACAGCCCAGCCCAGATGGGTGCAGTGAGGCCAACTACCAGCCAGGAGCTGTCAGGGCTGCTGTTTTCTTTCTCAGTCTGTATGATTTTCTCCTGTATTGGATTGCAATCCCTTGGAAGGCTTTCTCCCTCCCTGTATTTCCTCACAACATCTCTTACAGTACCTTTTAACCATACCCACCACTGCATAACTGAATTGAAAATAAAGATCGCATCCTGCAGGGCCAGGATTCGGGTGCGGACAGTGAGGCAGGGCAGCACAGGTGAGAGCTGGATCTGGCCTTTGTTTAACGTTGTTCACTAATTTACAACCCATGATTGTCGTGGGTTGGATTTTGTCTTCCAAATGGACATGTTGATGTCCAAACTCTCAGTACCTCAGAATGATTTTATTTGGAACTAGCGTCAAAGCAGATGCAATCAGTTAAGTTGAGGTCATACTGGAATAGGGTGGCCTTAGTCCAATGTGATAGGGTCCTTTTTAGCAGAGGAGGGACACAGACATGTGAGGAGGAGGGCTTCTTGTGAGGACAGAGGCAGTGTCTGGAGTGATGTGTCCACAAGCCCAGGAATGCAGGGGGCTAGGAGGAGCGGGAAGAGGGAAGGAACGATCCTCTCCTAGCATGCTGATTTTGGATTTCTAGCTTCCAGGACTGAGACAATATATCCCCTGAAAGCCACCCAGTCAGTGATACTTTGTCACTGCCTAGATAACTGATAATATGATCTATCTTGATTACTGAGTCTGGTACCTCCTTAAATTTTGCACCTGGGGTATGTTCCGCCCTCATCTCAGCTAGAACTGGTCCTGCACTTGCTTTTGTTGAGCATTCACTATCTCCTGGGCATTTTGTCACATGCTTATCTCATTTGATGCTTACAGCACCCTGTGAGGTAGATTCCATATGAACCTGGGAGATAACTTGCTCAGGTACTCATTCAAATCATTGAAGAATTGAATTGGATTTGCAAGCGCCAGCCTCCCTTCAAAACTGATTAGCCGTTGTTTCTATTTTAGCAAAGTACTTTGATGTCCACTCATGGCTTGTGGCTTTTGGAACAGAGAGATCCAGAGAGAAGTCAGAGAAAATAGGGTGAGGAGGGAGTGTATTGTGAGATCAGTAGAGAAGATGTAGTTCAGTTCAATGGAAACACATCTACCCAGCTCCCTCCTAGTGGCAGGTACTGTATTAGGCACTGAGTATGCAAATCTGAGTAAGTCACAATATCTAAATTCAAGGAGCTCATGCTGTAGAGGGGAAGCCAGACCCTCAGAGACACAGTGACGGTGCAGGCCCTGAGTGTTGTCCGCAGCCAGTGGAATAAACCAAGGGCGCAGACGCTGACTGACTCAGCCCTGATCCCGACATAGATGCTGACTGCAAGATCTGTCCCCGCCACTGGGCTTCCCCTCCACGATGCATGGTGTGGGCCCATGGCTCTGGTGTGGGCCTCTCCCTGTGTCCTGTCATCTAGTACAGCCTCTGTACTGCATCTGACCTGGCAGGGACAGCCTTTGGGAACCTCTGCTGTACACTGCAGGCTACCAGCCACTGCAGAGGAAGGGTCCTTGGGAAGAAGAAGTGAGTGGCAGGCGTATTCCAGATGTCACTTAAAGAGCCTCTGGTATGTACTGAGCTGGTCTTAGCAAATCTCTAGAGACATGGGAAACTTGGGGTAGGTGACTTTAAAGTGGTTAATGCTATGGCCATTTGGGTCAAAGGGACAGAGAGTCAAGCTCCCTGTGCTGTGCCCCTTGGCAGAGGTCGCTGCTCCTTCTCCTATGTTCCCATAGCACATCTTGTGTGTGCTGTGCACACTGGATTATGACTGTCACCTGCATTCCCAGCATCTGAGGGGTGGGGATCTAATCCACCCTCTCTTCGGAGTCTGTCATCTGTCAGGGGCCTAATGCCTGGAGGATGCTCGCTGGGGGCAGAACATTGCAGTGCTTGGGTGTCCAGGCTCTGGAGTTGGACATTTGGAGTCAAATCCTGCCTCTGTCCCCATAATAGCCACTTGACCTTGAGAAATATCTCTGCTTCTTCATCCATAAACTGAGGAACCTAGCTTGAAGAGTTAGTTGTGAGGATACAGAGAT